CAAAACATGTTTGGTGCTTGATATTTTCATCTTTAGTTTTTCACTGTAGATACATAAGTCGAATTATCTGACAGCTCTTCAAGAGAGCTGACACAGTGTTACAATATTAGCGATTACAATAAGGCTGTTTTCACACTTTATTTATTTTTTTAAAAGCCTACAATCGAGCCTAACTTGCTCTCTAGTGTCGATTTTGTTATTATCAATAATAGAGATGAAATAACGATTGGTGATGAGGAGGTGGTTTGCTTTCGCTGTAGCTTTGGAGGCAGAAAATCAAGAGAATTTGAGCTGCTTGTGTGACGTGACTGTATGCAGCCACATTCGAAGTGGGACGTCACATCGCCTACGAGTGAACTTCCCAAAAATAACCGAGTTGTTATTCTTAGTTACATTGCAACATTGGAACATTGGTAAAGAAATATTTCTGATGCAATATTTTGTGAATTTCCTCCTATTCGCGCATTAATAAGACTAAGTTTCCTCAGCCATGTTTGTTTTCCCTCGTTTGTCCCACAACTTGATTGGTTGGGAGGTTAAAAAAAAAAAAGTCCTTGATGTCACTCCTTGAGGCAATTTTCTAAATAGCTGAACTTTCAGCTTTGGAAGCTCCAGTGTGACATCAATGAAGAATTTGATCTGGCTTAAGGCAGAGATCTACAGACAAAAACTTCCATTCATTTCATTAGCATGGAAGTTCCAGTGCAAAACTACAGAACCAAAAGTCAAACACCAAACGTGTTTCAGAAGTGGACAAATCCTCGGAGGCTATCCCTCTGAGAAAGCACGCTGCCCGGTCCAGGGTTTTAGTTGCCCAGAAACTGCCTAGGCTAAGAAGTGGTAGCTAACGTAATGTAATAAAGTACGGTGAGCTAGTTAGCTAGTTAAGTGCATTAATACACACACACATGAGTATATACATTCCTGTGTAGAGAACGACTCGGTCATTATCCCTTTCTAAGAAAGCGTCACATTCTGGTAGCACATTGTGTTTGTGTCCTCAGTAAAAATTGCTAGTCAGTGTTTGGCAATGAGCTGCAGTGTTGCAGCTCTCTTCACATAGCGCCTAAAAAATATTCAAGTCTCACTAATGTATATGTTTTGGGGTTTTTTTTCGATATATTTATCCGTGAGGTGAGGGCATGCTGTGCTAGGAGGAGAGTTATGTAACAGTTTTTTTACTCGGTCGTGTCGGTGTTTCCACATAACTCCATAATCCCGATTCTGAAAACGTCGTAATTAGCCATTCAAGCTAAAGAATCTGAGTAGTAAATGCCGATGTGTGTGGTGCAGCAGGTGGTGGGATTCAGAACGAGTAGCATGTGTTATATTACAGCACCGATGTGTGTTGCACCACCATGAAGTGAAAACTTTTGTTTTGTCAAAGTCAAAAGTTTTTTTTTTTTCCCCCGTCTCTCGGTGTTAAAAAAAACAAAAAAAAACAAAAAAAAAACTTGACAATGCTAGCTTCCCGAGCCACTTTGTCTGCAGCTATGGATATAAAAAACTAACAGCCCGGTCATGTAATCTTCTTGTCCCATGAGGCCGGGCTATTGATTATGTTTTGGTTCAAACTAAAACTATTTCTTTAACCACAATAAAATCTAAACTGTAAATAAGTGCATATTAGCAGGAAAGGCAATTTCCACTGAAGACGGTGGTTTACCTCACAGCACAGCCGGTCCTCCAGAGAACCGCTGGGCATGTACACGTAGATAAGACAGTACGTTCCACCTCCGACACTGTAGCCAACCAAGTCCATTATGTTTGGGTGTCGATATCTAGGAAATAAAACAGGCCTTGGTGAAGCTTTCATGTTGAAAGATAGGCAGTAACCAAATAGGCTGAAAGTGCAAAGCAAGAAAAAAAAAAGCAAAGTGTGAAAGCCCCAACGACCCAAACTGAGAGTCAAACAAAAGGTAGCTGACCACAACAAGGGGAGATGGAGAGACAGAAGACTTTTGTTTTTTCTGGGTCTGGCCCTCATGTGGCCTGTACAGTGGGCAGTGAAAATTTCAGATCGGAAAGTCCTTCTCTCAGTGGGTGTTTGTTGACACACATAGAAAGTCTTGTTTTTTTTTTCTGTTTAAATCCATGGCCAATGCCACCTAAAGGAGTGTGAAAGGATGAGAAAAGAAAGTGCCAGATGAATGAAGCAGCTGCCAAAGCAAGAATGGAAAGAGAAGGCTTCTTACTGTGAGAGTCTTTCCACCTCAGTCCTAAAACTTTCCTTCACCACACTCCAACCCATATGGGAATCCTGCTTAAGACATTAAGAGCTTCTCATTAATGGACAAGACACGTGGCACCGTCCAGACAACACACAGCTAAAAACAAAAAGCCCACAAAAATGATACGAAGCCCACAAACGAGAGCTGTTGTTGAATTCTTGATTCTGATTGGTCAAAAGGTGTTGATTAATTTTCTATAACAGCAGCACTGTCTGTACCTATGGCTTCTAATACATTCTAATACTACACTTCTAGAGTAATGGCTTACTGTACACAGGGACTTGTATAAGACTTATAAATAGATTAAAAATGTCTCATGGAAGGAGTCTCCAGCGTCAGAGCTTTGTGACACTTAGAGATAAAGCTGTAACTAAGTTCTCTGACACAGAAAAGTCTTCAGGCCTTTGTGCTTTCTCAGTAACGTGGAAAGCTGCTTTTTTTCTGTCTTATTAACTTCAGGGGGTGAAAAAATGAGCTAGCTTCTTTCAAGGATGTTCCGCAACACTGAATGTAACTATAAACGGATAAAAAGTAGTTGTAGCTTTGGCAAACACTGCTGTGGTATAAAAGGAAGAAAACACTTCCACACATGTCGTTACAGAAAAATAAGCAACTTTGTGGTGGTGACAATAATTCTGTTTCATGTCGAGGTGCATCGCACCATCTCGTCGTTTAATTAATTTCCCAATAACAGCACACCTCCAAGTGTATAATTCCTTACTCATCTACTCATTCATTTCATTTCTCCATCTACTTGCCTCTTTGAGCCTCTTCACTGCAAAGTCAGTGTTCCTCATGGATGCGCGGTACACGTGGCCGAAGCCTCCCTCTCCGATCTGTCTGGCTGCGGAGAAATTGTCCGTGCCTCGCTGCACTTCCTCAAACGGCCAGCACATGACGCCCATGAACAGAGGCGACTGAGCTGCACAGCTATCGCAAGAACGCTGCAAATAGAATTATAATAAATTGCTAACTTATGTAAACAAAGGAAAACAAAGTAACACCAGATAATTAAAGTTGAATACAGCAAGAACTAAATTCAACATCCGCGGCTCATTTTGTTGGGCAATTCCCACCCACCAGTTAGGCAAGTCTCCCTTTTCATATGACAGCTAGCAATCCAGGAGGGTGGAGGCTATCACATGTGGCTAGTCACGTGAATCCAGTCAGCTGCATCTTTTCAAACTGCTACTCATGCTACATCAAGGGGGCGGTGTAACACACTCGGAGGAAAGCACTATCCGCCCTCTTCCGCATACATGACGCCCATGATTGGCGTCGCTGTGATTGGCAGGGGGAGAGAAAGTAATGCCACCCCTCCCACCCAGAGAGCACAGCCAATTCTGCTCTCGTTGAATCTCAGCCACAGACGTGGCATCGTCAAGACACAAACTCACAGTCTCCGGACGATAGGGTGAGAGCTTTTCTGTTTCTTTTGTTGTTGTTTTTTTTGTTTTTAATAAACAGGACAATTGTGAAACACTTTTATTACAATATTGTATACCAAGCTAACATTAAGTAAACTTACTCATTAAATTACTCTTAAATCATATTTCTGTGGCAAGTTTTTAACGGGTAAGAGAATTATGGGATTGTCTTCTCCGAAAACATGATGCTGCCTTCAAGTGTGTTCAAAATAAAAGCCATTAAGAAGCAGCTGCATTTGCGCTGCCGTCTAAATAGGACACGGGGGTGTGATGTTGGAGCCTCGGCAATAACAATAGCGAGCATACTAAATATCATAACGTATCATATTATGACTGATTAGTGGCACATGCCTAGTGTTAGGGCAAATTGAATATATTTACCTCTTCTTTCTCTCCTTCTTTTAAAACTGATGATGGTGGACCGGGACATGTTCTGTTCAGATCTGGGGGTGGAGGTCCAGGTTTGGGTAGCAGCTTGCTCTCTAAGGACACAAACAAAACCAGAATACTGCAGTGGACTATAAAAAAATAAACTCACGAGCACCAAACAAACAGGATAATGGAGGAAATTATTCATGTTGTAAATTGTGGTCATAGGAAATGTAGCTATTGTTATATCCTAACTGAACAGCCTGTAACCACTGTTTATGCACAAGTGAAGTACAGTGCTTGCATTGTGTGTTTTGGACTCAAACGTGTTTTTTTTTTTTTTTGCTGCTATGAATAACAAAGCAAAGACAAAACAGCAACCGTTAGCTTGTCTTTTTAACCCGAAAATAAGCCAAATAGCCAAAATGTAGTTATATAATGACTTTAACTGCAATGAAGTCTAATATTTCCTTGCACAATAGAATACATAGATAGCAATAGAAGCTAAAATGAGACAAAGACTAAACTAGAATACACCAGTAGGGGGTTTTAGAGGCGATACACACAGGTTTGGCAGCCATTTAAAAAAACGTAAACAGCTCGTTCAATGAGAGTTGTATTTAACGTCTCCAAAAAAATAATTAACACTGAAAAAGTTTGTAAAAAAAATTCTGTAATAAAATTTTTGAAAAAAATATTACAATTTTTTTTTTAAAATTCAGTCCAAAATGTTAAAAGTAAACCAGCTGTCTGTGATGAGTTTGAAACTGTTATATATAAGAATATGTTCTAATACGATGATATAACAGAAAAGTGTTGCTGTTGTTCCTCTTTCGGCTGCTCCTATTAGGGGTCGCCACAGCAGATCACTATTTGATTTGGCACAGTTTTTACGCTGCATGCCCTTCCTGACGCAACCCTCCCCAGCTTTATCCGGGCTGGGGACCGGCACTGAGGGCGCACTGCTGCACGGTTCCCTGGCCGGGAATCGAACCCGGGCCACAGTGGTGAGAGGGCTGTGTCATAACCACTACTCCTCCAGGGACCCATATAACAGAAAAGTGTATTGCGACATACTTTATCACGAGATCAATGTTGCATCAACGAAATGCCCAGCCCTTTGTGCATGACATATGAAGCAGATGAGTAAGGGGTTACCTAGAATTTGGAGGGACCGGGTGACATCTTTAGAGGGGGTAAAGATCGATGAGGGGGGTGAGCTGTGGCGGGTGAGGCTCGGTGATCGCAGGGAGCTGGAGGAGGTCGAGACAGAGGTCAGCTGTGGAATACTCCGCCCTTTACAGAGAGAGAGTGAGAGATAGAAATGTATCAGAAAACTGCTGGAAAACAAGAATTTTTTAAAAATCTTTTACAAATTATTTATAATCCGGTAAAGTAACAAAATTAAATTAAATCCTTCTAACCAGTCATAATGCACAGATCCCAGATATATGTCTGTGAATAGCAGTTATTGCACTAATCAGTGGAAAGAGGGCAGCCATCTTTCCCAATCAGAGCGTAGAGCCAGTCAGGGGCGCTGCTACAATTTTTGGGCCCCCTGACAAATTTCTACTCCGGGCCCCAAGCCCCCACCCCCCAATTATCTGATGAAAATATGGGGTTCTGCTGGGCCTCCTGTCTGACCACGGCCCTTAAAATCGTCCCAACCCTCCCCCTGTTATGGCGTCCCTGGAGCCAGTTACACTCTCGGACTCCCAACCAGGTACGACTGCAGCATCATCAGGATTCAAACTAGCGATGGCGGCTGCGCCAGTCAAGCAAAAACATTCCTAGCGATGATCATCTTAGATCATATTAGACAAAATAAAAGCAACAGACTAAAATCAGACAACTGAATAAAACCAGACAAGGAAACGATAAGTTCAATGACAGCTGAAATGATGCGAGTTGAAAAGAATAATGAGCTAGCAAGAGCAAAAGGAAAAAATGTCAAAGTCTTTTTCAAAACAACAGTTCAATCGACAAGTATATTCAATTCCAAATAAATTTCCTTTTATTTTAAAATCCCTCTGATGGCTAACGTAGTTTGAGACCAGTCCAAAACTGCAAAGCTGGTGCAAAGAGTCTGAGGAACCTGCCAGCAAATATTTATTAATGACTCATTTCTTCTTGATGCAATATATGAATTATATATAGGGATGTAGTGAAAGTTTCCAGAGAAAAAGGCCATTTTGGGCAACAAAGTTTCATTAGTTGTGGTTCTGAGGCTGTAAAAAGTGGGGGAGGAAAAAAAAAAAAAAAAAAAAAAAAAAAAAAAAAAAAGATATGCCTATCCAGTATGCACTTTATCCTTGGTTAGGGTTTGAGGTGGATCTGGAAAATCCCAGGAACACTCAGCACTAAGTGGGAATACACCCTGGATACACACACCCACCCACACACACACACACACACTTATGGCCACTTAGATAGATGGATAGATAGATAGATAGAGTTCTTTAATGACTCCTGAAGGAAACTGTTTAGTCACAGCAATACATGGTGGAAGGAAACCGGAGAACCCAGAGAAAACCCACACGGAAATATTGAGAACAATATTGAGAACTTCAAACAGTCATCACTCCAAGATCAGAATCAAACGGAGCTGTGAGGCAGCAACGCTACCCGCTACACCACCGTGCCACCCTACTCACATTTAAGAATGATATCTCGAGGTCTCAATAGCTCCAAATCTTGCAGGATGGTCACGAGATCCCCGACTGTCCCGTTCCTGCACCCCCACTTGTCCATTAGTGTTTCTGTCCGTCTGCTGCTCTTCTCCACAAGTCGAAGCTCTGTCTGGTCACATATTACTCGGGAAGCTGGATTGTCAAAAACAACAAGGGGGGGGCAAGATTCACTTTCTTGACTCAGGAAATGTTGCTAAAACATCATAATGAATCATTCCTTCAGGGAAGAGTGCTGACTTACTCATGACTTTTCAATTTTTGAAATAGATTTTTTTTTTTTTTTTAACACAGCCAATACTGTGTGTGTGTTTTTATATATATTTATATATACATATTTTACACACTTAGGTAGATACCACAATCTGTCTTCACGTCACTGTTGAGTCAATGTCTCAGTTTCACAGATGGTACTGTCTCTATGTTACTAAAAACTGGCACTGTGTGGCGAATATGAAGCAACTTGTCAGGAGATTTCATTTCATTTCATTTCATATGAATGTCAAACTAAATTAAAAATATTGGTTGAATTCTTTAAAGTCCCAGTCTGACCGAACAATGATGTGCAGAGAAATTAACATATTAAGAAGATTATTACAGTATACAAATATTATATATATATATATATATATATATATATATATATATATATATATATATATAAGGAACTGTAACATCTAAACAAAGTAGTATTCATTCATTCATCTTCAGTAAGTGTTTTATTCTGGTCAGGGACATGATGGAACCAGAGCCTATCCTAGGAACACTGGGCATGAGGAGGTAATACACTCCGGAAACCATACACACACATTCACACACTAAGGGCATTTTGGCATCGCCAATCCACCTACTGGAATGTTTTTGGGAGGTGAAAGGAAACCGGAGAACCCAAAGGAAATCCGCACAGACACAGGGAGAACATAAGAAACTCAACAAAGACAGTAAGCCGAGCTCAGGGAAGAACCCGGGACCCTGGAGCTCTGAGGCGACAAGGCTACTCGGTGCACCATCATGCCACCCACGACCAAAGATACGGTGTGTGTTCATGATGCTGTTTGATGAACTGATTTTCATCTAGGGTGTATTTCCACCACATGCCGAGTGTTCCCAGGACAGACTCGGGATCCACAGTGACCCTGACCAGGACAAAGCACTTACTGATGATGAATGATTGAATTTGGCACTCACTCGCCCAACACTTACCACTAAAAACGTCAATATTTTCTCTTTTAGCGCTTGTCTAAAAAGCTGGCTTCCTGATCCCATTGACTCCTAAACAATTTCCTTGAAGACTGAGACTATTTAATAAATAAGGCTTTAAATAAAACTGAAAGTATGTTATGACTGTTATTTAACACCTTATTTCGGCACTGGATTAGTATTATGCAGGGAGGTAGGGTAATGTAATTATTACCAAATCTCTGGGATTTTAATCCCATCCAAATCTGTCAGGTCTGTAATTTTTTTAAAGGGTTGTGCATGCACCATATTTTACCTTCAACAAAATGCCCAGTAAAAACACCTCCAGGTAAACAATAAATTATAGATGATGTGTCAGAGAAGCGGGATTACCAGTGACTTTAGATAAATGATTGAGCTCCTTAGAACAGGAACAGTGTACATACGAATAACCACTCTTTACAACCATGGTGAGCAGAAAAGCATTTCGGAATGCCCAACACGTGCGGATGTGCTACAACAGCGAGAAGACAGCATCAGGTTTCACTCTTGTCAGCCTAGAACGGGAATATGAGGCTACAGTGGTCACAGGCTCACAAAAGCCAGACAGTCGAAGGTTGGGGGAAAATAAAAAACACTGCAGTCTCAGATTTCAGTTCTTGGCTGAAAGGAGTGGAACGCGATGTGCTCTCCTGATGTTGTAGCCCATCCACCTCAAGGTTTGGCATGTTGTGTGTTTTGAGGTGCTTTTCTGCTTACCACAGTTGTAAAGAGTGGTTATGTGAGTTACTGTACACATCCTATCTGCTTGAAAACATCTAGCCACTTTCCTCTAACCTCTCTCATCACAAAGGTGTTTCCGTTGATAGAACTGACGCTCGCTCACTGGATGTTTTTTTTTTTTCTCCCACACCTTTCCGTGTATTCTAGACCACTTTGTGTGAAAATTACAGCAGATAAGCAGTTTATGAAATACTGAAACCAACCATGATCAAAATCACCAAGATCATTTCACCCCATGTTCTGGTTTGATGTTTGATGTGAACCTTATCTGAAGCTCTTCACCTGTATCTGTGTGATTTTATGCATCGAGCTCCACAAGAGCAGGAGTACAGGTCTTCCTATTAAAGTGGCCAGTGAGGTTATTTAAGGGATTTTCAGCACCTTTAACTGAACACTGAACTCAGTGTGGGTAAATTTTCCTCTCAGAAACCAGGGATAAAGCTGGTCACCTCTGGCTGTCTAGTGCACTTATATAGGCAGCATGGAGTCATTTGGGATGCACACTCACATCAATGAAGTGAACCTACATCCTTAATGGTGTTTTTTTTTCCTAGTTGTTAAACGCAGCTGGGAAGTTTTTCTCGAATTTTCTCCAAATTTGTTAATGTAGCTGGCTCTCATAGCTAATATAGCTAGCCGTGTCAGCTAAACGTTACCCTCAGCTGACAGCATTGAGTAAAACAGGTAAATATTTGTTTAGCTAGCGCACCTAGATAACGACGTTTTCGACACGATTTATTAACTCGCTATTTAAGGAAATTATATTTTATATTTAACAACAAGAATGACTCAGAATTAAAGAGAATGAAAGGTTTTAAAATGCTAAACACACGTCAGCTAATAATGCTAGCTAGCTGCCAAGCTGTGCGTTAAAAGGATAACTTTCACTCAAGTTAAGGAAGTTGCCCGACTAACGTGACTAAACAACTACACGATGGGTTTTTTTTGGGGTGGGATAGTATTTATAAAAGTTAGAATATTACGTGGATATGAAATTAAACCATTTGAGACAACCAAATAAATGATGATAATTTAAAAAAATTACATATATATATATATATATATATCTTACCAAATCTCAGCCAGTCTGAATCCGGGAGTGAATCCATAACACGGGTGAATTCATGAACAGCAGCCGCGGGTAAATTGTAAAGATATTCGCTATTAAAAGTCAAATTTGACATGTCTAACCAAAATTACCGAGCTGAAAGAGTTGAAGAGCTTGTAGAAAACTGATCCCGGTGCCTAAACAGAGCTAACTACCTTACTAACCCTGTCATTTAGGGCTGTAAGGGGAAAAACACTCCAACAGGCTGAAGGAAAAATGACTAAGTGAGCCCAGTATCGACTCTGAGCCTGAAGTGATGATTTCTCCTACTTGTGTGACTAAGTGGCT